CCCCAAAACCCCAAAACCCCAAAACCCCAAAATCCCTAAAAGGATCCTAAATATTCCTTTAAACTATTCTTAACCCCTCCATCCCTCTAGCCTCAGCTATCAGTCCCCACCCATAACAGCTGCTTTAACTTCTTTCAAAGAGTATTAGCAGAGCTTAAAGTTTCTTTAGGGCTTCATCAGAGTTGGAATTCTTGTGTGGGATTTGGCTGTCTTCGAAGTAGGCTTGGTTCGTCTTGTTCGGCACGACTGGATGGGAGTTATTGAAGAGGTGGTTGCTTTTTGGGGTGGTGCAAGGGGATGAGAGGGAACTGTAGTTTAGATCACCGTTTTCGGCGAGAGCGCTGATACTAGGGGAGCTTGTTTTGGAGCTTGGGTCTGTGAAGCAGTTGATGTTGTACTCTCTGAGGCAGAATAGTTTTCCGAATGTGTCTATAAGACCTTGGTGGAATGGGCTTAGCTGGGCCATAAAACTAGGAGGAGGTCTTGGTTGTTTGGAAATTTGTTTTACTTTGGCAAATTCTTTTGATTTTATATCATATGCAATTGCATTTGTGTTCTTTGATGCTGGAAGAATCAATATATTGACTTGTTGATTAGGATAAATATTAGTCAAAGGTTTGCCACTAAACATAATTGAAACTCTTGCCTTGGTTGTGTAGTATTTTCTACATCTCATGGAATATAAGTCTCAATTTGATTTGCTTTGATTAAAACACTGCCTCTACTTAGACATACATTAGCTGAATCCAATGTATTTGAAGCATCTTTGTATTCTCCATTCTGGTTTTTGAAATATTTATTGGAAGATTGAAGTCTTTGCTCAGAAGACATATTAAATGATTTTTCAAGGCTTTTTCTATTTTCTCATTTGTTTCATCGATGAGCAATCATTATGTTGATTTTTCATAATATTTTGATGAACATCATACATTCTACAGCTTAGAAATTAAATACCTTGATGGTTTGCCTGCAGAAACTAGATTCTCTTGTTGCATCTTTAACTTATCATCTAATTCAAGAAGTGAGAAATATATTTTCATAGAGTCATTCCTCAAATTTAGTATAAGATCCTTTCAAACATCTAGCTCTACAGTTCAAATAACCATTATAAAACTTTGTAAACGGTTTGTTGCTTACAATAAAGTTTCAGATTTAGACCATCCCTCTTAATATTTTCCTTTATTTTACCAAATGAGGAACATACTATTTAAGGTTGCTAACATCCATAAAACTGAGTATCTTAATATAGGGTCTATTAATGATCGGCCTTTATTGAACACCAGTACGAAGCTCTTTTTTAACACCGTCAAAATAATGCTGAACACGGCTTAAATTTGGGTTACTAATCTTGTATTAAAGCGTTTCCTAACTTCCCTGGTCTATCAATAATTTTTGGGTATGAGAGTGAGAGAATAAATCACGTCTGAGAAGCAGATAATGTTCTTGGTTGCCTCCATCTTTCAGCTGCTTCACTCTCAACATTATTTTCAGAGATAAAGAAATTTGTTGTTTCAGGAATTAAGAGAATGTGTAATTAACCAAGGTAAGTTAATACTCTGAATTAATGGTAGTTTATACATAATGTATAATTTTAATTTATGGACATAGATTTTGAGCAATTTTCAGAATTTTTTAATGCAAAAGTCTGTAAATTTGACCTAAAAGATCGGTAAAAGCTTCCGTTGTATCACAAGCAATTGGCAGACACCCTTGGGAAGAAATTTGGTGAGAAGATGAATTTGAAACAAATTTATTTTTGGCAACTTCATTAGGTGAGTTCTTGACAAATAAGAAATGCTATGCGGGAATATCTAGTGATGTATATTGGCGATAGAAAAAATCTTCTTCAAAGGGCGAATTTTCAAAAATATTCCTTGACCTAACATCTTCAGAAGCTGAAACTTGACTTCTAAAAGCATCATGTAAATTTGGTGATCTTTAAGCAGAAGCTTTTTTGATTGGAAAACTTCTAGAACAGATTCTTTGGATTTTTTAATATAATTAAAGCCGAAGTAGCCAATGTTTTGTTAGATAGGTCACCTGTTGGACTCTTTCCTTCTTCCATTATTGTTTTGTGAATTGTAGTAATTATATATCAATTATAATCTCACTACATGGGGTTTTGGGGTTTTGGGGTTTTGGGGTTTTGGGG